AAGGCATTTTAGACAGTATGTTAAATGTCTGTTCTTAGAGTACATATGTTAAGAGATGGTCCCTGGAGCCAAACATTTTTATTAGTAATTAATGACATTCTTTACTTTTTATGTACCTGGTCTGCACTCTGCAGGCTGTGGTCTTGAAGAATGCTTGACCACAGCTTCTAGCTTCTAAGTTACAGAGAATATCTTCAGATGGCATAAACTCACTTTCTCTCTAGACCATTATCTTTCACACCATTCTAAAAGGAAGCAGAGTATTAATGCAAACAGAAGGAGCTCTAGGTAGTACCAAAATCACACTAACCTGGTCGCCCAGTAGTGAAACAGCAGAATAATCAAAGGAGTTTGCAGAGCTAGCTGAGCAGAATCATGAGACTTTTATAGTCTTAACAGACATACCACCCTGATTATGAAAATTTCCTTTTGTTGGCCATTTAAGGGTAATTATTAATGGTTTTTGAAACCCAGGCTTAAGACTGCATGAACCCCATAATTAAGGGCAAGATCCAATAAAGGGCCATCTCAGCAGTTGCTTCATGGTTCAGAGTCCTAAGAGTAAGCTTGGATTTTTTTCCCCCTGAGATAATATTTTTCCCTCCAATGTAGAATCATGATATTTGCTCACTGTTCACGTTTCATAAAGCTTACATATGGAGGATTATTTTCAGTTTAGTTGCATATTTAGGCTTTAAAAAATAACTTTCTTCGTATCCAGAAAAAAAAAATTGCTGCCCTGTGTGATAGCTCATACCTGTAATCCCAGTACTTTGGGAGGCCGAGGCAGGAGGATGGCTTGAAGTGAGTAGTTTGGTACTAGCCTGGTCAACATAGCAAGACCTCATCTCTACTAAAAATTAAAAAAAATCATCCAAGTGTGGTGGTACATGCCTGTAGTCCCAGCTACTGTAGAGGCTGAGGTGGAAGAATTCCTTGAGCCTGGGAGGTCGAGGCAACAGTGAGCCATGATTGTGCCACTGCACTGCAGCCTGGGTGACATGGTGAGATCCTGTCTCTAAAAAAGAAAAAATGCTGTCATAGAAGGACAATATTACATAGTTTAAAAAATTACAGTATGGTCATTGAAGTCCTTCTGAGGTCTTGTACATATTAGGAGTTTAAATATTTGAATACATGAATGAATGAATGGAAGTATTGCTTCAGACATGGGTTTAAGAAGTGGAAAGAAGATACTTGATAATTGGTGGTTTTATTTGGCAAATCAAAATTATTGAGTTACATGGTCATTTTTCAGCTCTTTCATTATTTGTTGGTCCCACGTCTGCTTTTTATTTCTCATTATCCTTTTCCTTACCAAATAAATTTTGTTATCATTCAAAAAACTTGTGACTTACTCTTGTTCAATTGGAAATACTTCAAACTTTTTGGAACTGCCATGATTTAAAATTGCCGAAGACATTGATTTCTACTGAAAAGAGTTCCATGAAATACATAAGACATTTCCGAGGGACATTGATCTAGTGCTGATGTAACTCACAGGAAGGGGTTCCAGGTGGATTTTAAGAGCACTTTGCAGCTTTGAAACACTTGTCCGCTTCCACACTTGTACAACTTTCTCTGACTCTGCCTTATATCACCCACAAACTGAGGACTGAACTATTGAGACTGTATTTCTCCTTGATGTTTCTCAGCTCTAAAATTCTAGGGCCTTATTTACATTGGAGAACAAATGGGAAATCTAATAGAATTCCTTAACAGCTTCCCGCCAGTCTTAAGCATTTATCATTCTATGTGTCTTTGCTGTCTTGTATATATTCTTTTTTGTTTTTATTACGGATTCTTTGACTTTGCCATACACCAGTATAGAGTATGTATTAAGTCACTGATTGGAGTAAAGACAGGCATTTTGTTTTTAGTTATAAGATTTTACACAAAAATATTCTGATTTTGGCAATGCATTTTAATCAAGATTTTAGAAAATTGTCAGTGGTTTTACACATATGTTCTGTTTTCCTAGGAGGAAGTAGGCTTTTGTGCATAATCACAACAAGCACTATCTTTTTTTTAACACCTTTAAAAAAATATTTCAAATCTACAGAAAAGTGGCAAGGGTAGTGCAGTGAACACCAGTCTGCCTTTCAACTAGATTCACTAATTGTTAACATCTCCGCATTTGCTTTCTCTTTCTCTGGACACTTTCCTCTACCCCTGAGTCATTTGAGAATCAGTTACAAACATCCAGACACTTCCCCTGTAAATGCCTCAGCATCTGTCCCCTAAGGACGAAGACATTCTCCTGCGCAACCACAATGCCATTATCATAGTCCACGTTAAATCTCCCCAATTGTTGAATAGCATCTTAAATCATCTTTCCTCTCAAATTACCACTCATGAGCTAAAATCAAATGGGGTGATTATTGTATTTCTTGCATCTGTTTTGTTTGTTGTTGTTGTTTGTTTTTTGAGACAGCCTCACTGTGTTACTCAGGTTGGAGTGCAGTGGTATAAATACAGCTCACTGCAGCCTCGACTTCCCCAGGCTCAGGTGATTCTCCTATCTCAGCCTCCTGAGTTGCTGGGACTACAGGCATGTGCTACCTCGCCTAGATAATTTTTTTTTTTTTTAATTTCTTGTAGAGAAATACAAAATGAGTTTTGCCATGTTGCCCAGGATGGTCTCCAACTCCTGGGCTCAAACGATCTGCCGGCTTCGGTGTCCCAAGGTGCTGGGATTACAGTCGTGAGCTGCTGCACCTGGCCTATTTTTTGCATCTGTATTGAAGAAATGATTTTAATAACTATATGCCATCTTAATAACTATATATTTGATGAAAGATAACATGTTCTATATAACACACCCATATATTACATATGATGTGTGTGTGTGTATGTCTGTGTAAAATTTATCTATAAGAAAAACTTTTGGAGCAGTATTGGTTAATAGCCTTTTAGGCTACAATTCTCTTATTTCAAGAGACAACTGATTAGAAAGGGCCCAATGCTGCCTATTGTCGGAATTTATACTTGTAGCAAATGCTAGCAAAACTTGAACTTGAAAAACAGCCTCTGGGGTCTTCTTAAGTTTTTACTTGCTCATGTCTGCCTGTCACATCTCTTGTCTGTTATTTTTCTCTTTACTCACAAACTCAAAAGCATGAGGGTAAACCTACGCTCAGGAACATGAAATCCACCAATAGATACTCTCATGAAACATTAACTAAAAATATATGGAGACAAGTGATAAATACAGGGTGTGTTCACAACAGTGCATTTTGAAACTAGAAAAGGGGGGAAAATGACAGGCACAGGGTGGTAATGGAAAAATGGAGAGGCAAAGGTTATTTATCACCTCACTGTTCAATTATTTGATCTTTGGACAGACTTAATTTTTCCTAGGAAAGCCAAGAGTGACATATTTTAAGAGCTCTGGGCACCACAGGCTTCTGTGGGTTATTCTGCTTGAAGTTGACAGCATGGAGTGTCTTGAAAAGCACCTTCAGGAAGAGGTTACAGTGTTAGTACCCAGCCACTGCAAAATAAAATGGGTGTGAAATGCTATCCAGGGGTTCTTGTTATTTTTGATCCTGAAGTTTAAAAGAGACCTTGAGTACTCAAATGCGACTTTCTCAGAAAGGATAGCTTACTTGTCACCTGACCTGGTGTCTCCCTTCCCTGGATCTTCAGACAGAGTTCACTTCTAACCTTTGCCTGGGCTGTGAGCCTCAGTCTTTTGGGTCAGCCTGTGCGCCTCAGTCTTTTGGGTCAGCCTGTGCTCACCTTCAGCAGTTGAGTTCCTAGAGGCCTCCTGACCATAGCCTGTGATTCTTGAGGGCATATTTTTTACCACAGTCAGTGTGCCTACGTAGGCACCCAACTCCCATGGCCTCATTAAATCCTTGCTGCAACCTTATGAAGTGGATGCTCTTGGTCCCCCCAGCCTATAGAGACTCCAAGGACCTGCTCAAGGTCACATTGCTGGTCAGTAGGAGAACTGGGATTCAAGTTCAGGCCCAGCCTGCACCCTCAGCCACCATGCCACATGCCCCTCCCAGAAGGGCTTCTCTGAGGACAACCGTTGTATGTTAACATTAAGCCCACAGGTAGTATCACACTTAAGTATTATGTTTACATCTGGAGGTATAAGAAGGTTCTTTTCCTGAGTTATAAGAAAGTTCTTTTCCTGATGAAAGTGATATAGGCCTTTGTCTGTTTTGTGCTGCTATAACAGAGTACCTAAGAGTGGCTAATTTATAAAGAAAATAAATTTATTTCCTTCCTTCTGGAGACTGGCTGGGAAGTCCAAGATCAAGGTGCTGGCATCTGGTGAGGGCCTTCTTGCTGTGTCATCATGTGGTGGAAGGCATCACATGGGTGAGACAGAAGAAAGGGGACTGAACTTATCCTTTTGCCAGGAACCCATTCCCATGATAACTAACCCATTCCAATGATAATGGCATTAATCCATTCATGGGGGCAAAGCCCTTATGACTTAATCACTTCTTAAAGGTTCCACCTCTCAACACTGTTGTATTGGTGATTAAGCTTGTAACACATCAACTTTGGGGGAAACATTCAAACCATAGCAGCCTCCTTCTACTGATGGAGACAGAAAAAAGTTTAAAAGACTGGAAAAATACATATGTACTTATGGGACTGGTCATTGGTTTCTCCACTGTAGATTCCATTCTCACACTAATTGATGACAGAGCAGGACAGGTTGGAAGCCAGAAATGGGAAATAAACTGCTTCAGATTAGAGGCAGGATCTGTCAGGCAGGACTGGTGATAGTGTGTACTCGGCTTCTGAGCAGGGCACCACCCTTCCCTTCCTGTCTGCTGAAGTGATTTACCTGCAGCTTGGGACATCCATGAGTATCTCAGACGCCCCTATGCTACTTTCTGGCCCACTGACCCATCCTTAGTCTCCTCTGTTAGTTTTTAATACACTTAAAACACTGGGAGATTCCATTATTGAGCACTTGATCTGAACTTGACACTGTGCCAAATTCCCTGGTAGAGATGGAGAATATAAAGATCTAATCCTTGTGCTTGATGAGCCTACACTTAATTTATGAGAGGTGATGCATTTTTGAAATAATAGAGGAAGTTAAAGCTGTTTATAGTAAAGAACTGTATTAGATTCCTATGGCTGTTGGAACAAATTACCACACAGTGGCTTGAAACACGTACTCGTTTCTTCTGGAAGTCAGAAATATAAAGTGGGTTGGCAGGGCAGTGTTCCTTCTGGAGGCTGTAGGAGAGAATCCATTTCCTTGCTTTTTCCAGCTTCTAGGGGCCACTTGCACATGGCCATCCTCTGTCTTCAGAGCCAGCAGCATAGCATCTTCCAGTCTCTCTAATCTCTGCTTTGTGGTCGTATACCCTTTTCTGAGCTTGACTTTCCTGCCTCCCTCTTTGAAGGGCCTTTGTGGTTACACTGGACCCACCTTGATAGT